TGTGTGTGTCTGTGTCTGTGTGTCTGTGTGTGTGTCTGTGTGTCTGTGTGTGCGTGTGTGTGTGTGTCTGTGTCTGTGTTTGTTTGTGTGTATCTGTGTCTGTGTGTGTGTGTGAGTGTGTGTGTGTCTGTGTGTGCGTGTGAGTGTGTGTCTGTGTCTGTGAGTGTGTGTGTGTGAGTGTGTGTGTGAGTGTGTGTCTGTGTGAGTGTGTGTGTGTCTGTGTGTGAGAGTCTGTCTGTGTGTGTATCTGTGCGTGTGTGTGCGCCTGTGTCTGTGTGTGTGTGAGTCTGTGTGTATGTGTGTGTGTCTGTGTTTGTCTGTGTGTGAGTGTGTGTGCGTGTGAGTGTGTGTCTGTGTGAGTGTGTGTCTGTGCTCCTCCAGCACCTCCTGCCGCTCTCCCAGCTGGGCACAGTGTCAGGCCCCACCAGGAGCAGGGTGAAGGCCACTTGATGGACCCACACACAGTCCTTGCTGCGACATCCAGCCCTGCACAGAAAAGGGAGGAGGGGGATATTCCACAAAGCAAGCTCAGCTTCCTGAGACACGAGGGCTGCTTTTATACCCAGAAACCTGAGAAAGAACTTTATGTCTTAACATTCCGTTTTTCCCACACATGATTAGTCAACTAATTCCTTCCATTTAAAATGACAGTGCTCAAAAACGTCTCCATGCTCAAATGTAATTTTTTCCCCAACCATTTTACTTCAGTTAATAACTGACACCGCTGGGATGCAGCGTGGCCAGGGGGACATTCCCACCCCCCAGCACCAGGGCATGGTGCTTCCCCCCGGGAGCAGTTTTGGCAGCAGGTTCTCAGCCTTTTGAGAGGACCTTGCCCCGAAATGCAGGGGGTTTGTCCTAAACGCAGGTGCCAACTGTGTGCGTGCGAGGGTGGGCGCGGAGAAGGTGATGGATTGTGGTGAACTTACTGCTGAGAACAGCCAAACCAGGATGGTGCCTTGGGCTTTTGGTCCTCGGGGGAAGCTGGAAAGCCTGTGAGGTTCTTTTCACTTGATTTTCACTTTTCACTTGATCACTCCCAAGCACAAATACAGGTTGGGTGGAGAATGGATTGAGGGCAACCCTGAGGAAAAGGACTTGGGGGTGTTGATGAGAAGCTCCCCGGGAACCAGCCATGAGTGCCTGCAGCCCAGAGAGCCACCGTGTCCTGGGCTGCAGCAAAAGAAGCGTGGCCAGCAGGTCGAGGGAGGGGATTCTGCCCCTCTGCTCTGCTCTGCTGAGCCCCCCCTGCAGTGCTGTGTCCGGTGCTGGAGCCCCAGCAGAAGGAGGGCACGGAGCGAGGCCAGAGGAGGCCACAAAGGTGATCAGGGGGCAGGAGCAGCTCTGCTGTGGGGACGGGCTGGGAGAGCTGGGGCAGCCTGGAGCAGGGAAGGCTTTGGGGACACCTTGTAGCACTTCCCAGCACCTGCAGGGGCTACAGGAAAGCTGGGAGGAGCTTTTGACAAGGGCAGGGAGTGACAGGGCGGGGGGGTGGAACAGCTTCAAACTGAAAGAGGAGACTTTTGGATTAAAGATTGGGAAGAAATTCCTCCCCGTGAGGGCGGTGAGACCCTGTCCCGGGCTGCCCAGGGAAGCTGCGGCTGGCCCCGCCCCCGGGGC